GAGAGAGAGAGAGAGAGAGAGAGAGAGAGAGAGAGAGAGAGAGAGAGAGAGAGAGAGAGAGAGAGAGAGAGAGAGAGAGAGAGTTGGCTTACCATTTTCTTTCTTTTGTTACACTGGTATGCTTCCCAACTTCAGAATAGAAATTGCGGAGTGCATGCTGCACCTCTGTAGACCTGTCTGGAAGTACCGGGGTGCAGTTTCGCTAGACATCCATCCAAGCAAAAAGTGTGTTGCATGCTACTGTACTGGTCGGTAGTGTCACAGTTTTAATTTGAAAATGTGTTTCAGTCAGTCACTCACGATTTGGTGAATGTTGTGCCACGGCGAGGAAAATCGTGAACGTATACAACCTACCGTAGGGTCGGGTGGGATGTGTTGGATTCGGGGATGCGTGTGGATTTAAAATTGAAACCGTGACTGCGCACTAGTGGACCCCAAAAAGAAAGGAAAATCATTATGGAACCGACTGGGCCCAGGTAGGATTTCAGCAGTTGATGCGTTCTCCAACCCTCGTTAGATACATGATTTGAAGTGCGGTCTGCAGTTCATGAGTTGATGGCTGACCAATTTCGGTTTGATGTCTCGGGCTGACGGGTTGGCGGGCCCGCCGGGCCCTGAATGTTCCAACAAGCGAAGGCTACCGTGTAGGGGCCAAGCAGGGGCGACAAACTGATGGGCCGGACCAGGGTGATGTTTGTCGGTCGGCCATCTCCTGCCGACGGACATTTTCGTTCTCTCCTGTTCAGGGGCTGGGGTCGCAATCTCGTGGAAGGAAGCCGCGCGGGGTCCCGTTCGACATCGCTGGCCCTTCGCCGGTGCGTACCTGCCTCGCTGGGCCCATTGGCGCCATCGCCGTCGTGTTTTCGGAAACTTGATCCGTTCAATTCGATTTCGACGAATGAATTTCGAGGAGCACTGCCGTCCCGCCATCTGTGATCCCTCGCGACCATATGTGCCAGTCACTTGCTGTATCAGTTAACAGTATATATACAAAACATGCAGGCGAGAATGCGGTCTGCAGGCGAGAATCTGGTCTGCAGACGACAGTAAACGTTTCTTCTTCGGCTTGTGCCCATGTCGCCCCGGTGGAACGGCCCGTGCCAACAGAGGACGACTGCTGCGGGTTGTCTGAAGTCCGTGCGAAGATCGTAACCCTCCTGGTAAGTTTCCAGTCGAACCCTTGCCCTCCTGCCCGCTTTTCTTCCTCATCTATCGTGTCTCTGCTCCACCCGCGCTGTCTGTCCGATTGTCACTCGCTGTTCTGCCTGCTGAATGGCACTTCCCTGGTTGCCCCTCCTTCCTAACGTGTTCCTAACTTATTCTATTTCTGAATACAGCGCCGGGATGTCGACCTCGGACCTTCTTTGGCAACATATCTCAGCGTTGCTGGCGCTTTCCTCGCCCTTGCCGCCCTTCCCTTTCTCTCGCTTCGCTTGATGGGTCTTCTCTTTTCTATCTAGCTTGGGCATTGTAAATCGAGCTGTAAGAGGCCAACGAGCAGCAGACCGTGTCTGTGCGAGCGGTGGCTGCAGCGTCAGCTGATGAGGGGCAGAAATAGGGACTAGGGAAGGAGGAGGAGGAGGAGGAGGAGGAGGAGGTGGAAGTGGAGGGAGAGAGAGTCCGAGGGTGAGGATAAGATCAGAGGGGGGGAGCGGAAAGATGATAGCTGTGGAAGAGATTTGCCGTGAAGAAGATCAGTCGGCTAAAGGGGAGTGGGATGAACATGGAGGCGACGGTAAGTGGGTATACCTACAGCAGCGCTTTCAGAGCTTCTTTGTTTCAATCTACCTAGATTTGTATGAATGTAATGTCGCCAATGGAAGAGTATTTGGCTCGTGCTGTTGTGGTCGAACCTTGTTCAATGTGAGGAAACCATGTTTTTCCCATTTGGGGTTTCTTGTTTTCGGAGCCCTAGGTCCGTTAGCACGTCCATGTAGTCTTATTTTTTTACTCATCGGATGAGAGAGAGAGAGAGAGAGAGAGAGAGAGAGAGAGAGAGAGAGAGAGAGAGAGAGAGAGAGAGAGAGAGAGAGAGAGAGAACGGGGTTTCGTTTTGCCAGAGGAGATGTGTCTGTGTGTGTATATTGACGATATATATAGCAGTCCCCGCTCAACCTACACGTACGTGGGTGACCTTGTACGCAAGAGGTTTTGAACAGGGGGAGTTGTAAGTAAGAAGATATAAAATGAATTGATGTCTTTCTTGTTTCCTTTCGTTTTTTTCGCCTTTGCGCTCTGATATCTTTGTGACGATATATATGTATATATGACAATATATTGACGATATATTGTCACATTGTGAATCATGTGACAATATATTGACGAGATATATATATGTATCCATCTACCGTCAAACTGCCCGGGAACCCGTAGGCAGAGAGGGAGAATAGGATAACAAACGACGGACTGTGGCAAACTGTTTCGTCCGAGTTTCACCGGCTCGTTAGGAGACTGAGTATGTACATATGTATACGCATATATATGTGTATATTTATGTACATACACACACACACACGCACACACACACACACACACACACACACACAGAGAGAGAGAGAGAGAGAGAGAGAGAGAGAGAGAGAGAGAGAGAGAGAGA